GGTTGACTGGGCAAACTTTAAATGCTCTCTGTTGCCTATTTTGAAAAATGAAAGGATTGAATTGGTGTCCTTCTCCTTGGAATGAATATGTTTTGTCATCAGATGTCTGTTATATTCAACACTTCATTTTTCAATGCTTATTTTGTGATAATATGCCAGGCGGATGTGACCTTGGATGCCACATAGTTCATCCATAATGCATCTGGCATCCCCTTACCTGTATCAACTTTTTAAATGTTACTTTCAGCAAGGATATCTGCAAAATGACTAAATCGAAATTGTACATTCTTCAACTTGTGGTGCCATTTAACTGTCAAGCTCAAAGTGACAGTTAAATTCCCCCGCTTCGGTGCCAAACGGAGTGCAGAGAGCCATACTAAGCAGCAAAGGAGCATGAAAGTCAATTCGCTAGCATATTAAACATGAGGGTGGATGTAGCCTCAGAAGCAGCTTCAGGAACAAATTCTGTTCTGCTAGTCATACATAAAAGTACAACATAACAAATGTTATAAAGAAATAAATACATGAAGCCGTAGGGGTGTACAGTAGTTAAGGGGTGCATTTGTCATTAAGGATCGCAGGAGCCTTTTTTTGTAATGCTGTCATTTTAAATTTGAGTCATGCATTTTTCAGCTTATCAAACGTGCTGTGATTCAGAGGAGTGATTCTAGTGAGTGAAAACCTGCCATAAAATAAAATAGAATAAAAAAAATATTTTTTTAAATCTTTAAGAAATTAAATATGAAATAAGAAACTGATCATTCCTAGTGAGTGATAAAACCTGTCCTAAAATAAAATAAAATAAGCACAGAGGAGTGATTCTAGTGAGTGAAAACCTGCCAAAAAATAAAATAAAATACAATAAAAAAAATATTTTTTTAAATCTTTAAGAAATTAAATATGAAATAAGAAACTGATCATTCCTAGTGAGTGATAAAACCTGTCCTAAAATAAAATAAAATAAAAATAATGAGTAATGAGATTTTGAGATCTTTAAACAAATTAATAACATAAATATTTTTTTAGATTGTGGGGTGAAATATAACCTGAATGTTTCCATTAACTCTCTCTCTCTGTCTACATTTATACTTTTATATTCCTTCATTTAGCAGATGCTTTTATCCCAAGTGACTTTTAAATGAGGAACATCACAAGCAGTTTGTCATAGAGCCAACAATATTCCTATTGCACAATGCTACAAATGCACAAAGTTTAGTATAAACTAGATTAGTAAACATACCACAGCAGAAGTGAAACACACAAAGGAACAGAAAGAGAACTTTTGGACTGTATAAACACACAGGGGTAATAATCGTAATAATTGATTTTGTTTATAGTTATGGATTAGTTAAGTGCTTGCAAAAAAACATGCATTTTTCTCTAACACATGCACACACACAAAGCTTCTTATTCCTTTGAAAGCAGTAACTTTTCTCTCTCTCTCTCTCCTGTTCTCTGTGACTGTTCATGTCCTTGACATTTTGTCCTCGTAACTCCTGTCTGTGATGTGTACTGGTCCTAAATGTTTGTATTCAGTGCATTTGTATATTCTTTCTGTATTCTCTCTGGTCAGCTCTGAAGACTGACTGAGAAATTCTTTTGAGATGATGGATCCTGAGAGGAATAAAAGAAAACTCTGGAGACTGACACAAAAGAGATAGAGAAAAAGGAAAAATGAGAAGCAAGACGTGAAAGAAGTGAGTCTCCTTCAGGATTTACTTCTGACTTCCGGTGCCTAAGGCAAATACACAAACACACAGTAATTAATTTAATGTGAAGTGTCTGTTGATAAACAACCACTACAGTTGACTTCATAATTCCCTCAGTAATTAATTTACCCATGTGAAGAATTCATAATAAGTTCTGATAGCCCAAATACGCAATGTCCCTCTTAACCTACAAGCTCACATGATAAACGAACGAGCGAAAGCAAGTGGGTAGGTCATAGAACAAACATCATTTGTGAAATAGCGAGTGGCTTATGAAGTGTTTACAAAGCTAGTGTCAGGAGCCATAATGACGTGCTTGAGTTTGACACTGATATAAATGAAGCCAACACTGAAGGCTCTTCATTCTGCTGGAGAACTGCACCAGCTGCTGTAGAAAGAAGCACAACTGAATGTTTGTTCTTTATAAAGTCCTTCTAACTCTTGCAAATAAAGCACATGTTCAATATATAATGAGCTGCAGTGCTTAAATGGATGATGGTGTGAGTCTCCTCAAAAATTTCATTAAATATATTTCATTAAATATATAAAATTTCATTAAATATGTTAAATAAACTCATTAAATATGTGTTAAATATCTGTTGTAAACAATGACGTTAAATGAAATATATTTTTGAAATTTAAAATATATTTAGTTTTAACCTTCATATACCAAAATATATTTCAAAATGTATTTCAGGGGCAGGAAAATACATTTCCAATCTTAAAGTAGCCTTCATTTAGTCTAAATGTATATGTGGATAGAATCACCTACTAGAGATCAAACCTAGATTTAAAATGATTCATTTATGATTAATTTTTTTAATTACTAAATGTGTTTGCACATGTTACAGGCAATCAATAATTTTTTCTTCAAATGGGTCATGTGAAGGTGTTTTCTTGGATTTAAAATACTGTATATGGCTCTATACTGTATATATTTTAAAATATATTTTCAAAAAACAAAATACATTGGTAGAAAATATATTTATATAAATATTTTTCTTTTTAAAATGTTTTTGTTTATAACAAAAAATTGTTTGAAAAGTGTATCTGTTAAAGAAAAAAAAAAAAGGTTAGATATTTTGCCATATTATACGGTCATACATTAAGCTGACCAAATACTTTTTGGGGTCACTGTATATATAAAAAAAAGTATTGTATATCTAAATAAATGTATAATGTATAAAATTATATATATAAATAATATAACTATAAAATAAAAATACATATAAAATACAATTTTATTTAAAATAATAAAATTACAAATTTTAAATAAATATATAATTAAAATAATTTGTTAATTATATGTCTCATCATATAAAACCCCATCATGATGAATTACAGTTCTTTGCAGCATCGCAATCCCAGACAAAAATCTATTGGTTTTTCAGCCCCACATTCAGTACCTAAAGGATTCAGCAGTTCTCAGATGGGAAGGTTGTGTTATCCCAAAGGTCATGATGGTAGAATCTGAGGACACTTCCCAAACAGGAATTGTTCTGGCCCAGAACTGCCTTTTCTTCAGTGAAAATATGCAAAATGTGGTCAAATGGGACACTGGCTCTGAAATCAGTACCTGGATGGATGGATCCAGAGTCTTCTGTGTCCATTCTCCTCAACCTACCCTATTCAGTTAACCTTCTCTCCGCCATTACTCTCAATTAAAACCACCAACATGCTCTAGATTACAGTGTGGTCAGAGCTGCGCAGTGAGCAGACCACAGGCTGGGTACATTACCGAGAGCCCTGACTCTACCATTCATCCTCAATACCTCTGTTCACACCTGCACATTCCTGGGTGGCCATCACAGTCAACCACAAACAGGCCATCCTTTCCAAAAATCACATCCAAAAATGTGTTTGATATGATACTTTCTGATTTAAGAAAAATAACTCCATAATCATAAAAAGGTCATTCCTACAAATAAAAATACTTAAATTTATATAATCTATACAATTTCTATGTAACTATTATGTAATATATATTATATAAAAAATTAAATAGCAATACTGCAATACCAATGTTATTGCAGTACTGCTGATACCTTTTATCAAATTTTTCCCCTTCTATTACAGATAATGGTAATCAGTTCTTTGTCTTTGTAATGAGGCTGACAGCAGCAGGACTGTGCAGCACTCTTGTAGAGGGGGGTTAACGCTTTAACAGCACCTCTGGAATGGCTGGAGATCAATGCGTCATGCCCTGCAGCTGCAACAACTCGACCAGCCTCATGTGATGTGGGCTGTCTTTTAATTTCACGCTCAGGATCTGAGTGCTGTCTCTCATGCAGAAGACAGAGAGAGAGAGAGAGACAGACAAGAGGTGAGAGAGATGAGAAGCGGAGACGATGGAGTGGTTGTTGAAAATAAGGTGAGGAACGGGAGAAGGCTGACAGTGAATGAAGAGATAAGCAAGTAAAGGGAAAGGGATAGAAAAATTATTGGTACAGTAAGAGGCAAACAAATGAATACACTTATATATTTTAAAGGGGTCATATGATGCGATTTCATTTTTTCCTTTCTCTTTGGAGTGTTACAAGCTCTTGGTGCATAAAGAAGATCTGTAAATTTGCAAAGACTAAAGTCTCAAATCCAAAGAGATATTCTTTATAAAAGTTAAGAGTCAGCCACACCCCCCTAAAACGGCTCGTTCTAACACGCCCCCACATATCTACCTCACTATGTGGGAAGATTTGCATAACACCGCCCGATATTTTTACTGGAAAACAACAATACTGATTAAGAACTGAAGGAGTGAGATTCTCCATAAATTATTAATATCAGAAATCAAAGACCTTGGAAGAGCTAAAATAAGTCCTTATTTTAAACTTTATTACACGAATCGTCATGCAATGTTTGTGCTACAGACATGAATAATATATCAATACACAAGCGCCCCTCATTTTTTGTAACAAAAATTTAAAAATCTAGCAATTTACTAATATTTTCAGTATAATGTTGGTTAACTGTGAACACCGACATGGGTTCTGTAACATTTCAAGCTAAAGAAATGCCACATTTTTACATTTATACTACCTGCATTCAATCCAAAGTGACAGATTACATAAAATTGCCATCCATATGCCCAAAAAGTGCAGCATCAACTTAGTTCCTTAAACTCAACAATACAATATATTACTAAAATAAATATGTAGTGTAGAATAAATAAGCACCAAACAAGCACTCAAAACAGTACTGAGTCACACACCAGCTTCTTATTATCAGAGGAGCATTACAGACTTACTTCATAAGTATTTACCAGCTGAACCATATAAACTGAACTGGAATTCTTCAGCTGAGTTGATCCTCATACTGTTTACGGAAACAGTCTCCAACAGGAAAGAACTCCCAGCAGCGTTCCTGGAACATCTTCCACACGTATGATTCCTGTTGTGTGAAAGAGTGCAGCAGTCACAATTCAATTTAGTGTATCTCAAGTATCACTTGTCAGTGGTTTCACATTTTAATGGATTATTAAGAACATATCTTTCACACTGAAACAGTCCAAATTTCTCTTTTCAAAGATTCATGGCAAGCTGTACCTGTCCGGTATGTTCTGTGACATCCTTATTGATGAAATACATCAGAAAGAACCTAAATGGAAAACAAAACAAATGCAATTTATTTTCAGCAAAAAAAGTACAAATCTCCCATTTTACCTGAGCTAAACTTACTGTAGATTTTGATTTGACTGACATGTACAGTAATTAACAGCATTATCATGTTTTTTTGGGGATACTGTACTACAGTAATACAATGGTATCCTGTAAAATTAATATGGATATGAATATCATCAGTATCGTCAATTTTGCATTATCATGATACTGTATATTTCATTACCATCGTGGCATCACAGTATTGTTTTTGTAATATGACACACTTTCTGTTAATCTCAGCTTTAGACTTCACTCCCACAAACACAAAATGCGAGTTTCAAAGTCATCATCTGATTGGTTGGATTCTACAGGATTTCCAGAAGATGGACAGCTTTTAAAATTATGACTGAAAAAAAAGGATAATGGAAAAGAGGCATAACTGATCTCAGACCTGTTTTTCAGGTCTTTTGTACTCACAGATAGTTGGCCAGGTTGTGCTCTTGCAGCGTGTGCGACTCGAAGCCATGGGGCACTGTGTCAAAGTACTCGCTCCCAATGCCACAGATAAAACACTTAGTCTGAAGGAAAAAACCAGAGGCCACATTCACTGTTTAATTATACATGATCAATTAGCATAAAACCCATAGCTACACCGAAGAGTGGCTGACATAGATTAATGATGTATTTACTCAGAGAAATAAAATATTAATTTACAAGTGCAGTGTGGCTCTGATTTATAATTAAAGAAATGTTTAATTTTCGATAAATTAATTTAGTGTGTTAATTGGAACACAAGATGACAGACATCATAAATCTGAATGGATTCACGATGTAGCTTGGTGATAAAAAAGGCAAATCAGAATTTGAATGTGAAAACTCACCTCCATGTCCTCTTTAACCTGCTCCTGCTGGTCTCTCAACTCGCCAAATGCATCAATGATCAGACCTTTCATACGAAGACAACAGAGCAATTCACCAGTCACAAACACAATTTAGTTTATGCCAAACATTTGAATCCTGCGACACTCCTTTAGCATCATACAGTCAGATCTCTTCCCATAAACCCCTCTCAGCATGTGAGAGCATGATCTTTTAATGAAGCTCTTCAGTGCTGCTCAGCATGACTCGAGTTAGAAGACAAACTAAATAATTAAAATTGAACACTTCGGCTCATTGTCCATATTGAAATTTGGTGTACATATTCATTTAAAGTGCTGTATGCAATTTCAGTAAACAGATTCTCACAATTACTCTGTCTCTTACCCTGAATGATGGCGAGAAGGATGACAATGACGAAGAAGAAGAAAGTGATGTCAAAGATGATACGGTAGAACTCAAACTGGTCACCAGCCGGGTCTTCGATTTCATCTCCAATCCCTCCTCCGGCTCGCACACCAACATACATGTGGAACATGTAACACTATGCACACATGAATATTAATATTTACAGAATTATTCACAATTTTTTTTTGCTTTAGTCCTGCATCGAAACAGTCATCATTTTGTTTTATACAACCATTTTCCACTACCTCTCTTTAAACAAGCTGTTTTTGCAACTGCACCTTTAATGACTCTATATTGATTCTGTTACGATTGGTTAACATTTTTACATGAGAAATTAGCATAAACACCCCTTACAGGTTGCTGATTTTTAAAAAGGAAATAAATACTTTCTTTCAGCAAGGATGCATTAAATTTATCAAAAGTAACAGCAAAGTAATTTATAGTGTTACAGAAGATTTCTATTTCAAATAAATGCTGTTCGTTTGAACCTTCTGTTCATTAAAGAATCATAAAAAAAATGTACCAGTTTCCACAAAAAATATTAAGCACTACAATTGTTTTCAAACATTCATAATAATAAGAAATGTTTCTTGAGCACCAAATCAGCATATTAGAATGATTTCTGAAGGATCATGTGACACTGAAGACTGAAGAAATGGATTCTGAAAATTCAGCTTTGCCATCACAGAAATAAATGACCTTTTAAATTGTAATAATATTTTACAATATTACTGTTTTTCAGTTTTTTTGATCAAATAGATGCAGCCTTGGTGAACATAAGGACTTTTAAAAAAAATAAACCTCAAACTTTTGAACATTAGTTTAAGTTAATGGTAAAAGATAAAAGAGAGATTCTCACTGTGAGCATATCATCACATTTCATGTCCACTGGTTCGCCGTCTTCACTTTTGTTGTAAAATTTGCGGAAGAAGTTAAAGGCAACCACAGTGTAAAGATACACAACCACACCTTCATCATCACACCTTCTCGCAGATACAGTAACCCAAACATCTGGACAGTGTCACACAATAGTTTTATTAACAACGGCATTAAATTGCAGCAATCCTGAAAAAAAATCTATCATAGTTTTCACAAAATGATTAATAATCAACTTTCTCAATACTGATAACAATAAGAAATGTTCTTGAGCATCAAATCAGCATATGAGAATGATTTTTGTAGCATCAAGTGGCACTGAAGACTGGAGTAATGCCTGCTGAAAATTCAACTTTGCCATGACAGGAATAAATTACATTTTGAAATAAATTAAAATAGAAAACAGTTGAATAGTAGGATATAAATATAAAAATATACATATACATATAACATACATAAATAAAACCTGACCAGTTAGTTCTAGCATATTTTTGTTATAATAACATTATAATGACAGTATAATGACATTCATATTTTTTAAGTGTGACTTGAGCATCTAAATACATTTTGGGGCCACTGTATATACACACAAACACACATCAAATGTAGTACCTGTTTGCCATTATGTGTAACAGATGACAGTATGGTGTGCCGTGTTTTGAAGCCCATGGCGATGTCTAGCAGGTGGGCAACGAAGAAGAAATTGTTATAATGACCCAGGACTGACACAAACATATACCATGTCAGGTAAAGGAAGGACTGAGAGAAAGGAAAACACAATTTAATTTCAGATTTGACTCACTGATGGCCAATTTCTTCAGGTATTATATGTTCAGTATTTAAAGAGTCAGGGGATCTTACATTGTCGGTGAAAACCACTCCCAGCTTCCATATCTGGTACTTCACATCAATAGTGTTTAATCTAAAGCTGTGAAAACATGAGAATGATTTATTTTATTTATTTTAAGCCTACCATATTGAACACTGACGCCATCATCTGGCAAACACAGAAATAATTTTTTCATTGTCAGTCTCTGCAGATTAAATGATTGGGCTGTTTTGCTGAACAGAAGCTGGTTTGGTTGGTGAAATAAATATGGTAAATAGTCAAGACAGGGTCACAGGGTCGTAACTCACAGGGCAACCTTTTGTACGGGTCTCTTGCTCTCTGAGCCTCTGAGCTGAAGTCCAGAGCGGCTTTATCCAAACCCAGCAGCTCACTGACGCGTGCCGATCCATACAGTTCTCCATATTTCGCCATCACCTGCAGCACGGAAAGCCATCACAGAAAAACAGTTTGAACCTGCAGCTCAAATCACACAGCTTACTGTACCACATCCAGGAAGTAGACCATTATTAGTTAGTATTAAACTAACCCAAGTATTAAATTCAGCACGTAATTCCTCCCACACCGTTCATGCTACAGTTATGAATGATATCTCAAAGCATGTATCCTATTGTGGAGAAGTCTGCTGTTACTTATAGACACTGGATCTATGCTTTCCACCTGGAGGATGATAAATAGGAAGTATCCCGCAGACTGACACTGAAAGAGGGGCCTGAGACTAAATGTCATAGACACTTGGGGGTGAGCCAGTAAATAACCACCAGCAGCAACCAATCAGAACACCCTAGCAACTGCATAGCAACACTCTCAGGGTCAGATGATGATAAAGTTAGTTAGATGTAAAGCTGTAAACCTGTAAATAAACAATATTTTGAATTGGAAAAAATTAAAACTAAGGAAGAATGACCTATGACCTAAAATGAATAAAAATACTTCTGATTCCGCACTATTTCTAGGTCACTTATAGTAAGTAAATTTGTGACACTGATCAAGTGACTCTTTGTAGAGATGGTCAGATGTTCCAGAGATGCTCTTTGGATAATCTCAAATAATGTTGGAAAACATGATCTGATTTATGCAGTCCAAGTCAAAAATAAAGTAAAAAAAAAATAATAGAAGTATACTGGTTTCAGACTTGTGGACCCTACTGTATGTCTGAGGGGTTTAACAAAAGCCAGAAAGGTGAAGGCATTATTTAGTCTATCAAATATATACGTTTAGTTTCCCCACAAGAAATATATAGTGGGTTATTTGCACAGGCACAAAACTGAAGTGCCTGTTGTGTTGCATGAGTTGTGTGTGTGTGTGTGTGTGTGTGTAAGAGAGAGGTGTGTATGACCTTCAGACAGTAGTAGCCGATGATACAGCCGAGTGAGATGAGTGTGTGCAGGACAGCCAGGCTGTGAAGAATCATTTTCATGTATAGCCACAGTTCTCTTCTAGTTCAAAATAAACTTCCTGTGAACCCTTGGTGCTGTCGTCACAAACAGTGATCTCCACTTCTTCGTCATCATCAATGGTCGATGAAACCTAAATAAAATAATTATATAGATGTTTTTGGTGAAATCTAGGTTTGAACAGCAAAACCCTGTGTGGTTGACTGGTTAACTGAACTCCCAACAAGCTGGTAGTGAGTTATTTTAGCTGGTTTCACAATCCAAGTGGCCTAAAAACATCAAAACAGACCAGCCTGACCAGCAACATTAAAGCTGATGTTTTAGCAGGGAAATCAATACTCACCTTGTAGAACAGAAGAATAAAATGAATGGCAAAAGTAAGGAACAGAGCCAACAATCTCATGTTGTAGAAATTTCACACAAAACAGTTCTGCAGAGAAAAGACTTGCCATTTGGATTTCAGTTTCATCTGGTTTCGAAGAGCTGAGCTTTCTAAGTCTCCATTTAGGCTTCTTTTCCCCTTTATGTTTATCCTCTTCACTGCATAATTTAAATGCAATATTTTAGGCATTTTTTGAAATATAAATATTTTGTAACATGGTAAATGTCTTTACTGTCACTTAATCAATGTAATGCATCCTTGAGGAATAAAAGTATTAATTTCGTTAAAAAATAAATCTTACTGACCCTAAAACTTTGAATAGATAGTGTTTTAGACCGATTCAAACCAGCTCACGAGACTAGGAAATCAGACTACACTGGTCACGGCCTATGTTTCTGATTCATACCATCCAACAAGTCTTCATGTCAAAACGAATTGAATTTTTATAAAATGTGAAGTATTTGTGCATTTTCTGTGGGAGTAACACTAATTTCCAACTTTTCAATTTTATTTTCACATCCTTTGAATTGTTCAGGGCCTGAACATCCTTTGTACTCAAGGGTACAATCGAGAAAATTCAAAGATCTCTTCATATGTTCCCTGAGATTCCCGTGGGGGAGAGTAATGATACACTTAAAAGCTACAAAACAGCAGTATTTTCTGTTTTCAGAGTTTTATCTCTCCCCAGTCTGGAGCACTTACAAAGCTTTCTTAGTCTCTGAATCCTCCTCCTCTTGCACCTCATGAAAATCCTCCTCACAGATTTCCACCTGTTTGTAATGTTGACAAAGAAGACATACAGTTAATGGACATAAATGGACAGAGACTAAGGGGACAAAAATGTTAACTGGTTGGACACAAATGCTCAAAGTGGACACAACATTATATGTCCACATGTAAATTTATTGGACAAAAATGTTCAAAGTGGACACAAATCAAGAGGTTAGTTCTGGCAGGTCACTTTAGTCAAGCTCGCATCAGCTGACTCTCAGCTGATCCCCATCTACCTATGGGAATACGACACCTATCTAAGCATTCATATATAAGGTCCAGCAGTAGTATCCGCAGTTTTCGTATTGCTCAATAGCTAATTAAATGGCGAATTCGGCAGGCAAGACCATCTCTACATTATTGTCATGAACTCCACAAGTTATGTGACTGACTCACGAACAAGTCAGATGGGAACTTCATCCCCAAGGAGGATATCAAGAGATCAAGCATCCACTTCACAGCTGCTATGTTTCACACTCTCGAACGTCTTCACAAGCTAAGTTCCATTTAATGCTCATCATGCTTGATCACAGAATCTAACCAATGAGAATAATAAAGTGTCGTCATCAAGGCTTTTGTAGTGCTTGACCTAGGCGGCTGGTCCCGTTTTGCTCTGGCGGTACTTTGAATGCACACGTGATCGTAGGGCGGCTGCAGCGCCGATCAAAGTTGGACAAAAGTATTTTAATGTAACCAGAATGCATTGTTTTTGACAGGCGGCAGCCGATCTTTGCGGCGCCGCATCAAGTCAAACAAGCCTAATATCTCTAAAGAGTGTGTTTT